TATTACTTTTGGATTTGATATGATATGATTATGTTGAATATTGATTGAGTATTTGGAAGTATTTTGAGATGAATATTTGGATTTTACATATGATTTATGTTTTGGAATATATTTACGAGAATTTTGGAGGTTTATGTATATTGACATTTTAGAATTATTTTGATTTGAAAATATGTACCTATATTTGGAATATTATTATTATTTTACATGTGATTTTGTGATGAGAAGTTTGTATAAAGTGTTTATAAGGTTTCCTCCCAATATTTTCACAAAATGATATATATGTATCAAACATGATTATTTTACAGGGTTGGGTGGGCCTTACTTAGCATTTCCAGCTAATTTTAGCTTCTTTGTGTTTTTCTTTCTATACTTTATTTGTGCAGGAATTGAGGATCATGTTGAAGTTGATTTCGAGATCTTCAACTAGAACACATAGACTAAAGTGATTGAGTAATTTATTTTAGTGTTAATTTTAAAGAATTGTAGTTGAACAATTAAATATGGAAACTTTTAATTTGTTGGTGGTGGAGAGCCTATGCAATCGGTTAAGTGAGAACCCAGTGTGGCGGTAACGCCCCAGTTTCCCTTTGAATTTTCCACTGCAATACTCTGATGTATTCAAATGAATCATTATTTAAATGTTCTTTTGGGGGTGTTACACCACCCAATCCTTCTAAAGAAAATTGTCAATCCCAAGAGTCCTACCCGTATAATTCCAAGTCTAGGGAGGTGTTTACTTCACTGCTAAAGTCACAGTTAGGTTAGCAAGACAGGTGAAGTAAACACGCACGCTGCTTAAAAAGCCGCTTACTAACCGAAATAGGTGCTTAAAGTGCCGCTAATTAAGCATATCACCCCCCATGTATTAATTAAGCGGCACTTTAAGCTTTTTTACTTTCCGAATTTACCCCTTGCCCTTACCCTATTGTTACCCCTGCCCCACCCACCTACCCAGCCCCACCTCGACCCTGACCCCACCTACCCTACCCCGACCCCACCCTACCCTATCCTACCCTGACCCCACCCCAACCCCACCATACCCTACCTTGCCCCACCCTACCTTACCCCCGACCCCATCCTACCCCTACCCCACCCTACCCCTACCCCGACCCCACCTACAACACCCTATCCTACCCCAACCCCAACCCTACCCCACCCTACCCCACCCTACCCCGACCCACCTACCTCAGCCCAACCCCGACCCCACCTACCCCACACTGCCCCCACCCTAACACTACCCTACCTACCCAACCATTACCCTACCTACCCGACCCCACTTACCCTACCTACCCAACCTGCCCTTACCTCACCTACCCAACCCCAACACCCTACCCCCTACCACATTGGTCCCACCCCGACCCTACCCCCTTACCCTTACCCCTAGGGCCCTTACCACCCTACCCCAACACTTACCCCTTACCACACCGGTAAGGGAAGGGATTGTGGGTAGCCAGGGTGGGGTCGAGGTTGGGGTAAGGTGGGGTAGGGTAGGGGTAAGGGTGTAGGGGGTTAGTGGGTGGGGTGATCTCGGGGTATGGGTAAGGTAGGGTAGGGTAGGCTAGGGGTAGGAGTATGGTAGGATATGGGTGGGGGCGACCTAGGGGGTGGGGTAGGCTGGTAAGGGCCTGCGGGTAGGGGTTAGGGGCCTAAGGGGTAGGGGTGGGGTCAGGGTAAGGTAGGGTAGGGTATGGGGCAGGGGGTCGGGATAAGGTAGGGTAAGGTGAGGTCGGGGTAGGGCCGATGTGGTAGGGGTTAGGGGCAGGGTAGGGGCCTAGGGTGGTCGGGGGTAGGATCGGGGTAGGGTCGCGGACTCACGGTAGGGTGGGGATGGGTAGGGTGGGGTAAGTTTAGGGTGAGGTCGGGTAGGTAGAGTAGTGGTAGGGTGGGGTCGGGTATGTGGGGTCGGGTAGGTAGGGTCGAGGTAGGGTGGGTAGGTAGGGTCGGGGTAAGGTAGGGTGGGTAAGGGGTTAGGGGGTATGGGTACACATATTATATTATATACTTGTGTTCATGAATGTTTGTGTGTATATATATGTATAAGGTTATTTTGGACATTTTAATGTTAAGCGGTGTTTTAAACCGTTTGAAGTAAACACGATCTTACAACACTATTTATTTTATGCGCCGCTTATTAACACGGGTCCTAATAAGCACCATTTAATAACCGGTGAAGTAAACATGTCCTAGGTCAGTTTTGCGTACCTAGGCAGTCCAGTATCAGATTCGTTTTTTTTTTTGGAAAAAGGGTCAGATAGACCATTCAACCATCACTAATATGCTACCCGACCCCACTTACCCTACCTACCCAACCTGCCCTTACCTCACATACCCAATCCCAACACCCTACCCCCTACCACATTGGTCCCACCCCGACTCTACCCCCCTTACCCTTACCCCTAGGGCCCTTACCACCCTACCCCAACACTTACCCCTTACCACACCGGTAAGGGAAGGGATTGTGGGTAGCTAGGGTGGGGTCGAGGTTGGGGTAAGGTGGGGTAGGGTAGGGGTAAGGGTGTAGGGGGTTAGTGGGTGGGGTGATCTCGAGGTATGGGTAAGGTAGGGTAGGGTAGGGGTAGGAGTATGGTAGGATATGGGTGGGGGCGACCTAGGGGGTGGGGTAGGCTGGTAAGGGCCTACGGGTAGGGGTAAGGGGCCTAAGGGGTAGGGGTGGGGTCAGGGTAAGGTAGGGTAGGGTATGGGGCAGGGGGTCGGGATAAGGTAGGGTAAGGTGAGGTCGGGGTAGGGCCGATGTGGTAGGGGTTAGGGGCAGGGTAGGGGCCTAGGGTGGTCGGGGGTAGGGGTCGGGGTAGGGTCGCGGACTCACGGTAGGGTGGGGATGGGTAGGGTGGGGTAAGTTTAGGGTGAGGTCGGGTAGGTAGAGTAGTGGTAGGGTGGGGTCGGGTATGTGGGGTCGGGTAGGTAGGGTCGAGGTAGGGTGGGTAGGTAGGGTCAGGGTAAGGTAGGGTGGGTAAGGGGTTAGGGGGTATGGGTACACATATTATATTATATACTTGTCTTCATGAATGTTTGTGTGTATATATATATGTATAAGGTTATTTTGGACATTTTAATGTTAAGCGGTGTTTTAAACCGTTTGAAGTAAACACGATCTTACAACACTATTTATTTTATGCGCCGCTTATTAACACGGGTCCTAATAAACACCATTTAATAACCGGTGAAGTAAACATGTCCTAGGTCAGTTTTGCGTACCTAGGCAGTCCAGTATCAGATTCGTTTTTTTTTTTTTTTGGAAAAAGGGTGAGATAGACCATTCAACCATCACTAATATGCTGCCTGGGGCGGAGATAGAGAAGTTCTTTGCATTCACAAAAGAGTACGAGCATAAGATATTCCTAGAAAAGGTTATAACTGTGATGCAGTGAAGGATGCGCTTCTAGAAGGCAGTGTTGGACTCGGTGCGGCCACCCGACCCGGGAACCGGCCCGGCTCAACACTATTTGGGCCCGGCCCGGGAACCGGATACTGGTTCCGGGTCTAGGCACGGTTTAAGGATGAAAACGGGGCCGGTTCCGGGATTGCTTAAATGTGAACCGGCCTAGCCGCCTAGTTCGGCCCCGGTTCGAGCCTGTTTTATATATTTTTTTGGTTTGGGCTAGGTTTAAATAGGCTGGGCTAGGTGTTTCCGATGGGTTTGGGGGAAGGGGGGGAGGGGGTAGGGGATGAAACGATCAAGAAAAAAAATATAATCGGGCCCGGACCGGCATCGGTCAACACCCGGACCAGCACCGGTCAACACCCGGACCGGTCCCGGGCTTCACTGAATTTTTTTGGGTCCGGCCGGGCCTAGGCCCGACCCAGGCCCTGACCAGACCCAGTCCAAGACTACAAGAAGGTCATTACTCATTACCAAAGGTTTCATCTCAATAATTCTTAGCTTAGTTGATTGACGACACAGATGTAGCTTGATTAGAGGAGATCCGGAAATTTCTGCTTCTTCCGTTTAGTGAGTCATATTTGTTCAGTTCTTTCATTCATGCACCTAGCTACTCCATCAGTCCATCACAATTCACAAATTACAATTCCATTCCCACTTCATCTGATTTTGTCTATTTTTATTAATATACAAAGTATTTATCATCCCTTAAAACTTTGCTAAAGTTGACCGGTACGGAGAATAATAAAGTAAAAACTTAGATGGTTCAAGTTGTGCAGAGAAGAGAAATAACAGAAACCGCAAAATATTAATTAAAAGAGAAAGTGGCAAAGCTTTTTGGGACTTCCCAAAAAGGAAAGATGACAAAGTTTTAAGGGACGGAATCACGGAATAGCCGAATAGGCTGGGACTTTGGCTGGGTGGCCTGACCCGGAACCAGACCGAACAGGCCCGGTTGCCCGGTCAGTGACCGGTTCAGGTAGGCCCAACCCGCAGGTGTTCCGGTCCAGGCTTGGGTCCCCAAAATCCCGAACCGGCCCGACCCGCAGGTGGTTCGAGCCCGGGTCCAGGCCTCTTATTTTTTTTTACTTTTCGGGTTGGACTGGTTATTTTGGGCCATTTGGGGTGGTTTGGGATGGTGAATTGGTTAGGGGGTGGTTGGAGGTGAGGGGGTGATTGGGCCATTTGGGGTGGTTTGGAACAACGGAAAGCCCAAAAGAAATTAAATAAAAGAAAACGATAAAGTATAACCTGCTATAACAGGTTAATTTCCGCTAATTTGACTCGATTGATTCTTTTTAAGAGTTGATGAACTTATGTGATTGTTTTCAGTAGATGATGTTGAGTAATGTTTTATAATTGTAGAAGGGTCTATAAGACCTTTTTTCCTTTTTTTTTAATGTTTTGCCCGGTTCCAAGCATATAAAAATATACCACCAGGTCCGCAAATTGTTGAACCAGAACTTGGTACCCAACTACCCCATACACCCAGTAGGATACCCAGTCTTTGCCCAAAACCGAAAAAATGGACCCGATCCGGTCCCACAAAGTACCAGATCTGGTTCTAGACCAGGTCCATGCCTAGTGCCAAGCACCACTCGCTTTATAATTCCATCCAGTCAATTTAGTATATTCTGTGGTGCTATAGATGACGTTATGTTGATCCTACAACTTCATAAATAAAAATGTTGCCCTTTCTGTAGCTTGAAATGTGAACGCAGAACGCTCCAGAAGTCTAGAAAATCCAAAATAACCAAGCAAAACATCTTTAATCTGTAATAAAAAAATCTAGTTTTCTGCTCTAAACTAAGAGGGTTTGAAGATGAATGTCTTGTGTCCATTTGCATTACCTGGCAACTCTGTAGCTCTGGAAAAAGAAAATCACTAAACTTATATTCGACAGTAATGTTTAATTTAGAAAAATTCAGTGATCCAAATTGAGAACACATACCTTAACCCTCTTAAGAAGTTCCTTTGCCTTGACATCATTCTTGAAATGATCACGCACAGGCTGTGCATAGCACATGAAACATGGTTTAGAAAATATATATTGCTAAATGTAGGCCTGTTGTTTTCTCACTTCTAAAAAAAAAACTAAACCAAATTCTCATAAGGCACCTAACTTGGACTCCATCTTCCAAGTACACATCAAATGTTCGAAAAGATGCTAAGAATGTAACCTTATGTTTGGATCTGGGAAAATGCTAGGGAAAGGAAAGGAAATGCTAAAGCATGTTATTTCTGTATGCTAGGATTACCTCAGGAAAAGCAGAGGAAGATATTACAACTCCATAAAGGTGACTATTTATATACGGATAAAAAGGTAGCTCACAAGGTAATAAAATTGCAAAACTATACGAGCCAGTACCATTCATATAGTGCCGATGTTACTGCCACTACCACTACTACCACTGTTGGGTACACCACTGATGTCACTGCCACCGTCGAACACATCAGTGCGACTAAGGCAACAAATTCCAATGACTTTTATGACGATTTGTCAGAACGTTTTCGGCAAACTGTCCGCGTAGGCAGCGGCGGTTTCACAAACTTGCCTTAACAACTTTTTCAAGTGATTTAAAAAAAATGACAGGAACCGGCCAGATTAGTGCTAATAATAAAAATAATACTATCTCTGTCCCATATTGGTTGTCTGTGTATTTTGGCGCGATTATTAATAAAGCGGTTGAAAGTAAAAGTTGTGGTTGACATTTGAGTAGAATAGATGAAGCTATTATGTTGAGCTATTAATACCACTCACTTATTTTGTTGGTGAAGCTATAATGAATGAAACAGCTCAACATTTTATAAACAAGTCAATAGATGGTATTATAGATATGCAAATCAGTTACAAGTTAGTTTCAGAGAAAAAGATCTTGTTAGCTAATGAAATTGTTCTATCTGATGGTTCCTCACAAGTACTTACAAAAGATAATTTTCCTGAGACCACTACAGATGATGAGGTAATAAGATTTGTTTTTTGCGAGGAGGCAGTAAGATATTGTGAAGGCTATCTGAAAAAGTCAGCAAATTCCTCGGTTGCTGAGTGTGCAGTTGAGCCCACTCTTGAGGTGCTGAAAGTTCACGTTACATCATCTGTTCATGCTGCCAAACTCCTTGTTCAACTACCCCCTTCTCGTGGAGAAACTGTGTCCATGGTGGGGTTGAACAAGTGCCAGCTGACAACATCCAGGATGTCAATTGTCTTCAACTACCCGCTTCTCGTGGAGAAACTGTGTCCATGGTGGGGTTGAACAAGTGCCAGCTGACAACATCCAGGATGTCAATTGTCACTAATGTTAGTGTTTCTTTGACTATTCTGTTGTGTGGTTGTCCATGTAAGCAACACACATGGAAGTTTTAAAGCAACCTGAAGGATTAACCCTCCAAGGTGATGACTGCACTGAGATTCAGGAATTACTTAGATGGCGTGAAAATCATAAGGTGAAGAACATGAAGATGATGGATCAAGTATCGAAGCTAAAGGTCCAAAAAGCAGTGATGTAGAGGACAAGGAGGTTGTTCAAGGGGGGAGATGTGATAGGGACCTGAATAGCCAATAATAGTATGAATAATACAATGATATTATATATGTACGAAGAGGGTTTTGGACCAGGTACTAGTTAGCTTTGGGCTGGCCCATGATGGAAATTTTATAAATAAGAGTAGGGAGTAGAATAAAGGTGGGCGGAAATTAGTTGTAATTGATAGTTGTAATTAGAATGAGGCCTCTCAAAAAGCCTCGTCTGTCTTTTCTTCCCGTTTCTGTACTCCTTACTAATATACATTAAATTACAGTTACGAATTTGTAGTTTCCATCAGGGGCTATAAAAAAATACATGGGGCAGCTTAAATCAGTTTTGTGGATGTTAGAGGGACAATAAAATATAATAAACTTGATGAGCTTTGGAAGTTAGTCGCATTTTTTAAAGCAAAACTAGTTACATTTATGTCATTAAAAAGGGTAGAAGTCATACTCCTCCTCCATGTCTTGAACAAATATTATACGTGAGTATATATTTATTGAGTTTGAAATAATATTTCAAGTTTTTAACACTTTCTTCCCTTCCAAAAATATCTAATATTTTCCTAGCTATTTCTTTCCCAAATATTTCCAAACAGTGGTGAAAAACGTGTGTACCTGCAGTATCTTGTTCAGAGCTTTTGAGAGAGCAGGTTTAAGGTCAGCAGGATGCAAGCTACCACATTCATAGTCAGTAATAAGTTCTTCGAAAGTCGAGAAGGTCCTGCACGTTAATAATAAGTTAATAACAAGTGATGCGATGGAGAACGGGTGATAATCACTTCTCATAAAGTTTTCACTGGTCCAGCAGAGCAAGCTTTTCAAATATTAATGAAAATTAAGCTGACGTAAAGTACTATTAAGGGGGTGTTTGGAACTGATTCTGCTTCTCCTTTTTTTAAAGCAGAAGCAGATTCAGAATCGGTTTTCATAAGCTGGTCTCCCCCAGCTTCTAAAAAAACTGATTCTAGGAGTAAATTAGAGCACCATAGTCACTTTTGTACTTTCACCCAAACACTCCAACTTCTACTTCAGCTCCTTGATGGAGCAGAAACGGTTTTAAAAATCAGATACAAACACCCCTTAAGTTGAAAACTAAAACACTTTCAATGGCAAAACAACCAACATGTCTTACTTGTTACCACCATTCTCTAGACATCGCTCAACCTTGAACTCATTAAACCAGGGAAAGATGATGTACTTGATGTATTCTAGACACGGATTTTTCTTTACAACCTTGGGTGGGCAGAAAGCCTTCTTTATTTTGAGATTCACATCTGCCTACAACATCGAAGAAAAAACAAGTGTCTGTTATGAATAGTCAATGACACCCAACTGTGTTGATAGAATAAATGGTATCCAATGTGCACTACCTCTTCATCATCCATGAAAATGGAGGATGACGGATCACTATTGGACATCTTCTCTTGTCCCTCCTGCAAGCCAGGCAATATGTCTGCATGCCAAAATATCAGTGAAGGGAAAAAATAAAGCTCCCAAACAAATTCCACATTTACAAAATTGCTATTTTCGTGAATGTCCCAAGAAAAATCAATTTATACAGGCACAAAATTCAAGAAAATGAAAACTGTATTCATAAAAGGGGGGAAAATCATCTAAACAACATATTTAATTGGAGAAGAGAAAATGAGGGATAATTTTGGACATGCAGGAAAAAGAATGTGAATATCTTTAGGGACAGAGGATGTATTGATTTTGAACTTGAAAAAAAAGGGTGTGGAAGTATACGACGAGACAAACTGATGGGCTTGTTTTTCCTCTTTATATCTTCACAGTATTCTCTTGCAAGTACATTCACTTCTCGCTGGTCCATTCCCAATTGAAAGATATCAGCCTGCTAGGAAAAGGGCATGCAGTTGGTTGCACACACAATATATTCAAGGATGTATGCATCTAAATGTATAAACGAGAAAATCATGCGAGTGTCCTGTCCATAAAAAGGGCAGCCAGGTGCATGAAGTCACTCTCGCAAGGCGAGGGTCCAAGGAAGGGTCCGACCACAAGGGTGTATAAGGGGCAAGCCTTACCCTGTCAAATAATTTACAAGAGACCACTCTCAAGACTTGAACCCGGACATCAACACCTTAGTGTACAGTTTAAGCCTAAAATTTAGCACACATGGTACTAGTCTTTAATGCGGAAATGACCTTGCTATGGGGAAGTTACATCCCAATACACTAAAACATGTCCAGATCGAATAAATAAATAAGTAAATAAATAAGTAAATAAATAAATAAGTAAATAAATAAGTAAATAAATAAGTTAATAAATAAATAAATAAGTAAATATCAAATCTCTCCTCCCAACTCATCCTTGATTAAAAAACAATTAACGATAAATCACAAAAGGCAAATAGCACTAGGAACAGTGTAACAAATATACACGTAGAAAGAGTAGGGGAAGATAATTTCATTACTGGGACTCGGAATTGCACGGGCTAGAGGATGAGTGCAAGGATACTGATCCCAAAGGATCCAACTGGGGCTCTTGATTTTCCATGGATGACTGCTTCTGCAAGCATATGATCGTGAGTTACCTGAGGTTAGAGTTGTCCGAAACTCTAAATTCAAAAAACAAATTGAGCATATTACCTTGCTGTCCTCTATTTTGAAGTCCTAAATCAGGGTCGGCCCATGTGGTGGGCTAGGGCAACATGAGCTAAGCGGTGGGCCAGGTTAGTATAGCCCATTAAATAGGGTGAAAAATAAACACGCTAATTTTCTGTGTACAGTGTGACCAAGTTACTATTTTGTTCTTTTAAGTTCAACTTCTTATAATTTTTCACAAAAAAAACTGTAGTATGGAATCCGTAAAATAAAAGAAGTGATGTATTTTGACCCCTGCATTCCAGTTTTTGTTGTAACAAAACTCCAAGGCTATTATATATTCTAAGTAGGAATGGATCCGGGTCGGTCCGGTCCTGGTTCCGGGCTGAGACTGCCCAGTCCCTGTAAAAAAATTGTCACTCCCAAGTCCTACCCGTATAATTCTAGGTCTAGGTCAGTTCCAAGTTCCTAGGTGGTCCAGTCTCAGACCCGGTTCCGTTTATTTTTTTAACGTTTTGCCCGGTTCTAAGCCTATAAAAATATCATTAGGTCCCCAAATCGTTGAACCAGAACCGCGTACCCCATACACCTGGTCGGACACCCGGTTTTTGTCCAGTACCGGAAAACGGACCCGAATTGGTCCCGCACAGTACCAGACCCGGTTCCAGACCAGGTCCATGCCTAGTTCCAAGCACCACTCACTTTTATAATACCATCTAGTCGATTTAGTCTATTCTGAGGTGCTACAGATGACGTTATGTTGATTCTACAACTTTATAAATAAAAATGTTGCCCTTTCTGTTGCTTGAAATGTGAACGCAGAACGCTCCAGAAGTCTAGAACAATCTCCAAAATAACCAAGCAAAACGTCTTTAATCTGTAATAAAAAAATCTAGTTTTCCGCTCTAAAGCGGAGGGGTTAAAGAAGCACATCTTTAATCTGTAATAAAAAAATCTAGTTTTCCACTCTAAAGTGGAGGGTTTGAAGACGCATATCTTATTTCCATTTGCATTACCTGGTAACTCTGTAGCTATGGAAAAAGAAAATCAATACACTTATATTCCTCAGTAATGCTAAACTTCGAATAATTCAGTGATCCAAATTGCGAACACATACCTTTATCCTCATAAGAAGTTCCTTTGCCATGAAATTGTTCTTGAAATGATCACGCACAGGCTGTGCATAGCACATGAGAGATGTTTAAGAAAATATATATTCCTAAATGTTGGCATGTTGTTTTCTCACTTCTAATGAAAAAACTAAACCAAATTCTTATAAGGCACCTAACTTGGACTCCATCGTCCAAGTAAACATCAAATGTTTGAAAAGATGCTAAAAATGTAACCATATGTTTGGATCTGGGAAAATGCTAGGGAAAGGAAAGAAAATGCCAGAGCGTGTTATTTCTGTATGCTTGGGTTACCTCAGGAAAAGCAATGGAAGATATTACAACTCCATAAGGTGACTCCATTCATATACGGATAAAAATGTAGCTCACAAGGTAATAAAATTGTAAAACTACATGTGTCAGTGGCTCAGTGCCATTTATAATGCCACTATCAATGGTGTCAATGCAGTGTATACTGCCGATGTCACTGCCACTATCACTACTACCACTGTTGGGTACACCGCTGATGTCACTGCCACAGTCAAACACATCAGTGTGACTAAGTCAACAAATTCTAAGGACTTTTATGACGATTTGTCAGAACGTTTTCGATGAACTGTCCGGGTAGCCGGCGGCGGTTTCAGACTTGCCCCAACAACTTTTTCCAGTGATTTAAAAAAATGATAGGAACCGGGCAGATTAGTGCTAATAATAATAATAATAATAATAATAATAATAATAATAATAATAACTCCATCCCATATTGGTTACCTGTTTGAATTTTCCACGATTATTAATAAAGTTGTAGAAAAGTACAAGTTGTGGTTGAGATTTGGGTAGAATAAACTCAAATGATAAGGACAACATATATCTTGCCAAAAAAGGAAATAGGACATTCATTTTAGGACAACCAAAATGGGACAGAGGGAGTAATAAATTGTACCGGTAGTATTCGTAGAAGGGAAGGGAGGAATAAGGGTTAGACAGAATTTGAGTGGGAATTAGGCTGGGAGAGTGAGGTGACTTGAAGTGTCTCAAACCTGGTACTTCTCTTTCTATTTTATGTTTACGTTGATTTCTAGTTACCCTTGCAATAGGTTAAGGAATTCTGAGAACTTCATCACTATAATAGTAGATTCAGGACAACAATGAGATATATGAAAAGGCTGTGAAGATTTTAGAAAAATGTTGGCCTGAGGTAGTGATGATGAAGGATCAAGGACCGAAGCTAAAGGTCCAGAAATCAATTTGGCACTGGGAAGGGTGAGGCACATGGATGAAGATGAGTGTCAGGTTTGTTTCCTATCACCCACCTTGATAACAAGGTGGTTGTCTAAATGGGAGATATGATAGGAACCGGACAATCAAGATTCCCTCATGCCAAGAGAATAATGAGATGCTCGGAGGTGAAACCAACAAATCGAAAATGTCCACATTTCTAGGCATCGGATGATCAACCACATGTTTTAATCTCCTCTGCATCACTCTTAAGTCTTAACAGTGTTCCTGAAGTACAGTTCAACTCAGGGAACAATTTAAAACAATAAAGGTGAGAGTCCAAGAGGCTGATAGGGACCTGAAGAGCCATTACTAATAACTTAATAAGAATAATAGAATTATATTAAATATGTACAAAGAGAGTTTTTGGTCACGTACTAGTTAGCTTTGGGCCGGCCCAATGGGCCCATGATGGAAATTTTGTAAATAAGAAGAGGGAGTAGAATATAGGTGGGCAGAAATTAGTTGGAATTGGGATCTAGGAGAGTGAGGCCTCTCGAAGAGCCTCGTCTGTCATTTCTGCTTTCCCATTTCTGCAATCTTTCTCACTAACATACAGTAAATTAATGTTACGAATTGGAGTTCCTATTATTGGTATCAGAGCACTCGCTCCTGGAGACACCTTCCTGGAGACAGAAAGTCAGAATCGTTCATGGCCAGAGCATCGATGGAGCAGCGATTGGAGAAATTCAAACGGAAGTTGGCTGAAAGACGATCAAGGATGGTCGAGATTATGGATGAGGAAAAAAAGACGGTGGTCGACAAGTTTAACCAGCTGAAAAAACAGAATCACCGGCGAGCACGATCGAGGATGGTTCGCCGTTGTCAGAATTCTGCAATCCAGGTTTTTACATCGTCGCTAGACGATTCTTCCAGTCTGCACTCCGCAGGTATCGTTGCAAGCTGTCACTCCAAGTTCGAAGGCTTCATCGGTAGCTGATGCCTCCACTTTGCAGGTTTCCTCACTTGCCTTATCTCACAGCTCATCGTTGCATGTCGTTCCTCATCTTGCGCCAGATTCATCCGCCTCCTGAACCATCCACTTAGTCGCATCAGGCAAGGGATCACAGGGGACTCAACCAACGATAATGAATAGAGAAATAAAGACAGCTGCACCTTCAGTCCCGGAACCAGACTCTCTGCTGGAGCCTGAAGAGGATATGTCGCAACTTACGGGAACTCTCCCTGTTAATCTGGAAAATCCTTGGAAAACAAAGGTATGGCTATTAGGAACTCAACAAAGCGACACAGAACAATTTGTGTGTAGTTTGCCCCCACTGGATGAAACTGGAATGCGTGTTGTTGTTCAATCTGTGGTGCCAGGTGGTGCCAGGTGGTCCAGCTAATGACTATTTAGAAACTGGTGATCTTTTTTGTATAAATGGGGAGGTGATTACATTATTTCTAAAAAAATGATGGAGATACGTGATGCCCCACCTCGGATGTACAACCGTGATGACATTTCTGGCTTATGGATGGCTAAGCCAGTTTTATCCCCAGGCTTATTTATCTTGTCTGGCACAGATTCTGATAACCAAGTTCTGTTGTGCCTAAATGCCTATTGTGTTGGTGAAGCTCCAATGAATGAAACAGCTCAACATTTTAAAAATCAGTCAATAGACGGTATTACAGATAATGCAAATCAGTTATAAGTTAGTTTCAGAGAAAGAGAGCTTGTTAGCTGATGAAATTGTTCTATCTGATGGTTCCTCACAAGTACTTACACTGTTACACAAGATAATTTGCCAGAGACCACTACAGATAATGAGGTAATAAGATTCTTTTTTGCGAGGTAGTAAGCTATTGTGAGGGATTTGTGAAAAAGTCAGCAAATGACTCGGTTGCTGAGTGTGTGGTTGAGCCCACTCTTGTGGAGCTGCAAGTTCACGTGCCATCATCTGTTTGTGCTGCCAAACTCCTTGCTGAACCACCGCCTTCTCGTGGAGATACTGTGTCCATGGTGGGGTTGAGCAAGTGCCAGATGACAACATCCAGGAAGTAAATTGTCACTAATGTTTGTGTTTCTTTGACTACTCTGTCATCTGGTTGTCCAAACTATATAGCAACAGACATGGAAGTTTTAAAGCAACCTGAAGGATTAACCCTCCAAGGTGATGACTGCAATGAGATTGAGGAATTACTTGAATGGCGTGAAAACCCTAAGGTGAAGAACATGAAGATGAAGGATCAAGTATTGAAGCTAAAGGTCCAAAAGGCTGTGATGTACTGGGAAGGGAGAGGAGCCAAGATGAAGGTGATTTTTGTTTCCTGTCACCCACCTTGAGGACAAGGTGATTGTTCAAGGGGGGAGATATGATAGGAGCCTGAATAGCCAATAATAATAAGAATGATAGAATTTAATTAAATATGTATAAAGAGGGTTTTGGGCCAGGTACCTGTTAGCTTTAGGCCGGCCCATGATGGAAATTTATAAATAAGAGTAGGGAGTAGAATAAAGGTGGCCTCTCAAAGAGCCTCGTCTGTCTTTTCTTCTTCCCCGTTTCTGCACTCTTCCTCACTAATATACGTTAAATTACTGTTACGAATTTGGAGTTTCCATCAGGGGCTATAAAAAAAACCATGGGGCAGCTTCGATCAGTTTTGTAGATGTTAGAGGGACAATAAACTATAATAAACTTGATGAGCTTTTGAAGTTGGTCGCATTTTTTTAAAAGCAAAACTAATTACATTTATTTATTTATGCCATTAAAAAGGGTAGAAGTCATACCCCCCCCCCCCCCCCCCGTCCCTTGAACAAATATTATATGTGAGTATATTTTTATTGAGTTTGAAATAATATTTCAATTTTTTAACACTTTCTTCCCTTCCAAAAATCTCTAATATTTCCCTAGCTACTTTTTTCCCAAACATTTCCAAACAGTGGTAAACCACGCGTGTACCTGCAGGATCTTGTTCAGAGCTTTTGAGAGAGCAAGTTTAAGGTCAGCAGGATGCACGCTACCACATTCATAGTCAGTAACGAGTTCCTCGAAAGTCGAGAAGGTCCTGCACATGAATAATAAGTTAATAACAAGTGATGCGATGGAGAACGGGTGATAATCACTTCTCATAAAGTTCTAACAGGACCAGCAGAGCAAGCTTTTCAAATATTAATGAAAATTAAGCCAAAGTAAAGTACTACTAAGATGAAACCTAAAACACTTTCAATGGCAAAACAACCAACATGTCTTACTTGTTACCACCATTCTCTAGACTTCGCTCCACCTTGAACTCATTAAACCAGGGAAGGATGATGTACTTGATGTATTCTAGACACGGATTTTTCTCTACAACCTTGGGTGGGCAGAAAGCCTTCTCTATTTTGAGATTCACATCTTCCTATAACATCAAAGAAAAATAAAAAGACCAAGTGTCTGTTATGAGTAGTCAATGACATCCAACTGTGTTGATAGACTCAATGGCATCAACTATGCACTACCTCTTCATCTTCCATGAAAATGGAGGATGACGGATCACTTTTGGACATCTTCTCTTGACCCTCCTGCAAGCCAGGCAACATGTCTGCATGCCAAAATATCAGTGAAGGGAAAAAATAAAGCTCCCAAACAAATTCCACATTTACAAAATTGCTATTATTCTTGTCCCAAGAAAAATCAATTTATACAGGCACAAAATTCAAGAAAATGAAAACTGCATTCATAAAAGGGATAAAAATCATCTAAACAGCATATTTCATTATAGAAGAAAAAATGAGGGATAATTTTCGACATGCAGGAAAAAGAATGTGAAAGTCTTTAGGAACAGAGGGTGTATTGATTTTGAATTTAAACAAAAAGGATGTGGAAGTATACGATGAGACAAAATGATGGGCTTGTTTTTCCTCTTTATATCTTCACAGTATTCTCTTGCAAGCACATTCACTTTTCGCTAGTCCATTCCCAATTGACAGATATCAGCCTGCTAGGAAAAAGGTATGCAGTGAGTTGCACTTGCACACACAATATATTCAAGGATGTATGCATCTAAATGTGAAAGCGAGAAAAACATGTGAGGGTTCTGTCCATAAAAACTAAAAAGGGCAGCCGTGTGCATGAAGTCACTCTCGCAAGGCGAGGGTCCAGGAAAGGGTCAGACCACAAGGGTGTATAAGGGGCAAGCCTTCCCCTGTCAAACAATTTACAAGAGACCACTCTCAAGACTTGAACCCGCACATCATCACCTTAGTGTTCAGTTTAAGCCTGAAATTTAACACACATGGTACCAGGGGTGGATTCGGTTCGGGAACCGGACCGATATATGAAAATCCTGAACCGAACCGATTATTCGGTTCCTCAAATACTTCAAACCGCACCCGAACCAAAATTTTCGGAAACCGAATTTTTAGAAAACCGAATTTCCAGTTCGGTTTTTTTAGTTTGATTGAAAAACCGATTGATTTGGAAATATTTTAACTATTGAATGGCATCCAAGCAGACTTGGCCGCCTATTAAAGCCTCAATCCAACAGCCGTATATATACGGACTTATGAGGAGTATATCTCCCGTTTCAACCGGTGTGGGAAACTTTTCAAAGGTTTTAGGAAAAATAAATGAAAGGAACGCGCAGGATGGGAATCGAACACCGGTGGAAAAACTAAACTCCCACTGAGTCCGCTCTGCCAACCGCTGGACCGTATGAACAACTCATCCATGATTAGGATATTATTAAATATATTACGTATATAGCTGCAGAATAAATAAATAAAAATCACTAAATAAAAGTCGGTTCGGTTCGAAGCGATTTTAAACCTCCTAAAACCGTATTTACACCGATTATTTTTCGGTTCCCGACTTTCGGGTCCCGATTTAGTTGGTTCGGTTTCGGTTCGGTTTTTTTATTGCTCGGTTCGGTTTTTTTCGGTTCGCTTTTCGGTTTTTCGGTTTAAAATCCCAGCCCTACATGGTACTAGTCTTTAATACAGAAATGACCTTGCTATGGGGAAGTTGCACCCAAATACACTAAAACATGTCCAGACCCAATAAATAAATAAATAAATAAATGAAAACTAAATAAAATAAATAAATTAGATAATAAATAAATAATTTAATAAATAAATAAATAGGACCTGTAATAGCAATAGAACCTGTAATAGCAATAGAACAGAGGAATATTTAACAATTTTCAGCATTATCAGTACCCATGCCATGTCCAGCACCAACTCCTTAACTACATGTCTATTGGTCTACTGTCTAAATACACCATGAATGGTTTGAGGCAGGGTAGTTAAAAGCAAGTGCCTGAGTGCTTAAGGGCACCAGGTGAGGCGCAACCACTGTTGTGCACTTTATGAGTTGCTCGGCATAGCAACTTGTCAGGCACAGAAACCGGCATGAAGTGCACAAGGTGCAAAGGCACATGCTCAATGCCCCTAGGTCAGAAGGATTACGGTGTGGTGTAAGCTACACACATATTTGGCCAAATGGCAACATTGACTATTTAGGTATGGCACACATATATAAAAGTACTATTCATATGTGTAAAAATATGCAAACTATCACGGTGACTAAAATATATGAATAAATAAATAACTTTTGTCATAACAATTCAGGCAAAAGATAAATGACTTTAACATCAACAAAGATTACCTTGAGGAAAAATATGTCTGCGCACTGCATGCATGGGTAGAATATTTGGGCAGCACTAGCAGTCAATGCATTTAGTTCAGAGCGACCCATGATTTGACAGCATCTGACAATTACAAGGAAGGAGAAATCAAGACATTTTGCAGCGACTGTTTTCCTTCTAAAGGAAGGAGATGAGTGTTGACTAACTTCGATATTCTACGAAGCGTATTTCTCCGTGCAATATCCAAAACAAGTGGCCAGTACTCATCAGCTCTAGAATTGATCTCTTCAGAGGACCATAAAAACTCAATTTTGTTACTCTCCAGATTCATTCCCGCGTCTTTCCATATCTCAATCAGATACTGACCAACAGCTTGAATTTTCTTTAAGTCCCCACCCATCTTGTTGTTTAGTTGAGCAAACCAATCTGCAATCCAAATCTTTACTTTGCAGCCCGAAGATACCAACTTGTTAACATTAATTGTCTTCATAACACCCTGTTGTTCATGGAGGATTGGATGTTGATGTGGTGAGAATAAAGTCCAGAGAAAGACACACATAACCACACATCCAACCACATTTCGTTAATGGTCTAGATATTATTGCTTTTTACTGATGATCTTTCATACACAGAGCAGCATTTAGAAATTGAGGAAGAAAAAAGAACAAGTTAATCACTATCTGTGTTCAAAATCCTCTGGGGACCAGTAGGCACTGGACCGGTGCTTATGACTTTTTGTGGGGCCCAGATGGCTAGATGCTGCCTAGGATCAAAGCCAATTTGAAGTACTTTTTTATTTGAAGTCTTAATATAATCAATTTAAATATATTAAACCTTCAAACAAAGCAACATATGGGGCCTATTCAGCCCCTACGATTGAGGCATTGAATTTCTTGTTTTGCCTTTTTATTAAATAGAGCCTACTAAACAAATACTCCATCTGTCCCATTTAGCTTGTCCCGTCTTTCTTTTTTAAGCCATCCAAAAATGTTTATTCATGCCAAATTTGGCCATGGTTTGTGGCTTAATCATGCTTACATTTACAGATTCAATATCAACCACAATATCCAACTATTTCTTATTATTTGTGCCAAACTTCATGTCCCAAACTAAACGCGACGGAGGTAGTATTTTCACACATTCATATACACTAATATATACAAAGTACATAACAAAATAGACACTACCAATCAAAACATTCGGTAATTAAGGGGTTTTGTGAATTTAATTGTTTTGTTGTTTTAATATTTAATTTCTTTCCTTTAAGGTTTCGTTTTCATAAGGGATCGCCATTGCGCTTCTTCCTATTTGCAATCGTCATAGACGATCTAACCTTGAAAACTCCTTGAAATTCAGCCATCAGCCCTCAATGTAAGGGTCCCCTTTACCTACGGTGTTGAAGGTGTGTGGCAATTGCTGGAATAGAACTCAAAGTTCACACGGGTTTTGATGCATGCTGCCATATAATATTAAGGGAAGATAAAGAAGAGCATCATATTCATCATTACCCCAGTGCCGCAAAGGATCCCACCTTTGGTAGGGTAAAGGGGGTCGGATGTACGCAGTTTTATCCTTGTACTAAAGCACAAAGAGACTTGTTTCTGAATGACTCATAGTGCAAATCGCATTGAAAATTGCATGGATTGACAGCTGCTTTATAACGCAGACAATTCAGTGAGCCATTTTGTTTTATTACATTAAGTTCTCAAGCCAAAAAAATAGTGAGTCTTTGGCTCCATTGCAAATGATGGAAAATAAAATTAAAAAAGCAATCAAGCAAAATAATGAGGAGTGATAGTTGATTGATTATGATCTGAATTCTGATTTGATTTCAGAAAGTGATTTTCTAGGACTTCCCTTTCCTTTTTTTGACATTCATATGCATGTAATCTCTCTTATAAAAGGGACCCTTCTAATGATAATAAAATATTCAACAAAAACTAAGAGCTTGTTTGGTAGCACGAAAATCGGCTGAAGTGGCTGCATTGGCTGATTCTGCCTATATAAGAAAAAATTATTTTTAAAATATATTTTATTAATATAATAAAGAAAAAATTATATGTAAAAATAGCTAAAATGATCATCTACAGTAACTTCAACCAATACAACCAGAAAAGTAACTTCAACTTTACTTTTTCTGCTTATTACACAACTCAGCGCACGAAAACAAAAGTTACGTGTTTGGTCAAAAATTTGGCTAATAAGCCTGATAAGCCGAAAAATAGTGTTGCCAAACGGCCTCTAAGAATAATCAAGGAGAAAAAAACTCCCCAAATTCCAAAGAAGAAGTAAAACGCTGTAAAAATTCACCTCCCCTTCCCATCACTTACGTAGTATGTTGCATTCCAGCGACGCAAAGAACACCGGTACATAGCATTTTGATTCTGTTTTTGGAGCCGTGGGAAATTACATGCTTTTTGCTGATGACTACACACTCCTCTCTGAGATACTAAAGAAGCAACAGAAGTTGACAAGCCAAGGAATCTTTACAAGATGAAAAATAGAGTGTGGGGGTGCAACTAGCATTGCAGGCAGTAAGAGATTCAGTTGAGAATTGAAACACTTTCTAACCAGCTTGACCACATATCCTAATCAGTGGAGAGTGGAGACATCTGTAGAAGCACCCCCATCAGTAGACGCCTCATATCCTAGAGTGACTCTCAACCACTACAACTCATCATGCCAGCAGTGTCTATGACACCTAGAACTGAGACTGCCAAGTACATAATAATTAACAAGATTACCCTTTAACACTCAATCAACAGGCAAATCTCCCAAATCATGAGCCTTGAACTCCTGTCTCCAAGAGCTTGACTAATTTGGCATTTAATTGCCAACTGCCCGAGTGTCACTAATGCACTTATGCACTATGCCCTGGGAGAGGGGTGGCTATCCAGCATTAGGAACAAGGTTTATAGGTGAAAACTAAGACTCCAAGTCTTGACGGCAGAGTGTGTGGAGATCAAGGCAAGCAGCACTCCTACTATCAGTTGCAGGAGATGGGTTGAAGAGTAACTCTCAAATCTTAAATTCAAGAAGATCAAAAGATTCACGACTGAAGGATAAATAAAATAAAGATTATTGTTTTCATAATAATACCCCAGTTTGTTTAATCGGATTTACTCGAGATTAGGGCTTGTTTATTTCGAATTAAGGCTTAGTTTCTTTCAAAAAAGATGCAAGAAACCAAATATTCCAGCATGGAGACAGTTGCCTTTTTCATCCTGTGCGCATATGATGTATTGATGCCATGTGCTAATTGGGCATTGACAAATTTAAAATGACCATACCTTACGACTGAAATCAGTTTGAATACATATCAACACACAAATATAATAACTACAGCTTTACTAATATTAGAGCTACTGCAAAAACAGATTTAATATTTGGTGGAACTCAGCAGCCGGTATTCACTTCCTCCGAATAAATGAGTTATATCCATAATCCATTATCCATTGTTCAATTACATTCATAGAGCTCATGAGGAAGACATAATCTTTAAAAAGTCGCAAGAAGGTCAATGCACTTCAAAGTCATATGAATCATGGAAACAAAATGCCTAAACACTGAGAAAGGTTATGTCACGACACTTTGAGCACAACGGTTTAATTGCAATGGCATAACAAAAATTACAGACCTGAGCAATGTGCATCCGACCAGAGGGTTCAAATCCATCATAGCATATTGGCTGAGGCTTATTCGCCAATAGATTCTTTAACTCTTCGTCCTGAATACACTCTTCCCCTATGCTCCTAACAATATCAAATCTCTCCTCCAAACTCATCCTTGATTAAAAAACAATTAGGATTAATCACAAAACGCCAATAGCACTAGGAACAGTGTAACAAATATACCGATTACCGAGCAGGGGAAGAGAATTTCATTACTGGTACTCAGAATTGCACGGGCTAGAGGATGAGGAGTGCAAGGATAGTGATCCCAAAGCATTCAACTGGGTCTCTTGATTGTCCATGGAGTGGGAGTTCTGCAAATAAGGCATAACTCTAACCATAATGACAGCCATACCTATCTAGCAGTGGTGGACCTAGGCTTCGGGACCCAGTGTATGCACATTGGACCCTGACCAAGTTTTTTACCTTTTTTTGAAAATCTTATATAAATAATCTCACATTTATAAAGATATAATAAAAAAGTGAAAGGTGAGATTATTTATATGATTTTCAAAAAAAGAGTAAAAAACATGGTCAGGGTCCAATGAAAGAAGATGGGGTGCAAAGGTGGGATTATTTTGGGATTATTTAAAGATGGGATTATTATGGGAAGACCGGTGAAAGGTGGGATTATTCTTGTCAATTTTTCCTTAATAATATATATATATATATATATATATATATATATATACACTACATCTAAAAAAGGCTAAATAAAATATATCAATAGAGTAAAACAAAAAGTACTTTTTATAGTTAATGACGTCTTGGTCTTGTAACAGTAACAACATTATACATGGACATTGTATCTACAGAAAATGTAAAAATCAAAATATCACTATAAATATAAACATTACAATATGCCAATATTGATAAACTAACTGAAAAATAAAAAAACTAATTCATAACATGGAAAGGTAAAACTACACTAATTGTTTAAATAATTAATTCATTAAATGTGAAATACATTGATGTATTAGAGATTTAAGAATACAATATTAATAAGATTTCAATAATTTAGGGCTAGAGAAATGAATAAAACCTTGGGAACTAGAGTGAATGCGAATTGCAACTCCAAACCTCTGTTGCTATTCTATTAGTAATCTGAAATTTCATACATAGACAATAGACAAATTGATTGATAGTTAACAATAATAATCTGAAGAATGATAACAATAATTATTAACTACTAAGGATTTAAGATTAAAGAAAGAAAAAGTCTGAAATAAAGCTCAAGAGTAAACGAGTAATCGCTAGTTTGTGAGAGAGAAGATGCTACTTACGGATTTTGAACGAGGAGGATGAGTAACGCTAGGGGTTTTGCGCACTGAAGGCTAATTTGGCGGACCAGCGATGCTAGGGGTATGCTTCCCCGTTGCTGTTTTTCTAAAGAAGAAAGAGAGAATAGGGATTTTGATTTGGAAGAATTTGACTTTCCATACTAAGAGCCCGTTTGGTTGCCCTCTTTTTCCGCTCAGGCTTATTTCCCGGTTTTTTAATGCACTAAATTTTGTAATAAGCAGAAAAAGTAAGGTTGAAGTTACTTTTATGGCTGCATTGGCTGAAGTTACTCTAAATGACTATTTTAGCTATTTTTACATATAATTTTTTCTTTATTTTATTAATAAAATACTCCCTCCGTCCCGTTGGAATGTTCCCACTTTCCTTTTTTTGATGTCCCAATTGAAAGTTTCCATTTCTCTAAATGAAAAGTTATCCTACATCAAAACAGTGTCAAACAGCGCAAAACAGTGTCAAAAAGTGCCAAACAGTGTAAAACAGTGTCCAAACAGTAAAATTTACTCCCTGGTAAGTTTATTTCCTTAATATGTGTGTAGGTCAAACCGGGAACATTCCAACGGGACGGAGGGAGTATATTTTAATTTTTTTCTTAAATCAGCAAAATCAGCCAATGCAGCCACTTCAGCCAGAACTTCATAAATTTCAGCAGAATCAGCCAAAACAGCCGATTTGCACCCTACCAAACGGGCTCTACTTTTTGGATGATATTTGATTTTGCACCCCATTTCACTTCGAAATCCTTTGACTTTGCACCCTATTCAGAAATTTTAAATGTTATATGATAGGGTGCAAAGTCAAAAGTTTTTTAAAATAGGATGTAAAATCCAATATCACCCAAAAAGTGGGGTGCAAAGTCAAATTTTCCTTTTGATTTTTGAAATGAGTTTAATTAATTTTTATTGTAAAGCATTAAAATCCATAGACTACCTAGTACCTAGTTGTGCAATATTAAAAAAAAAACTACGGTCCAGTCCAAATGACAACAAAGAGAAGAATATGAGAATGGGTAATTCTATTTACAGTCATAGTTTTACTAACCATAGCCCCCGAAAAAATTACATGTCTAATATGCCCTTATATTAATAGAAACAGTTATATGCCAGAATATTCTATACGCATAAACCATCTCCCTGGATGAGCAGCAGTATCATTCCAAGCCATGCCAGCTTTAACCGGCTTTAACGTGACAGGACAATGAATTGCACTTCCAGATTAAAGCAAGTCAAAAGCAATTCATGTTTCTGGGAGCAAATTGAACAATCAATTACAAGTCTGAATTTCATTTTCTAAAGTTATTTTATTTTGGGAGGTTTTGCCTGTTCTCTATCTCTGCTTCTCAAGACATGGAGAGAACTGTAAATAGAACTCTAGGTGTATTTTGGTTGGAGGTGCACCTGATTAATCGGTCCGTGCGCTTCCCATGTTACTTGATCCTTCTATGGCTAAATCTCATTGTCGTCGATGCATAAAGCAAAGTTGGGATAGATCTATTCCAAGCCGATAACACAGAAAGTTGGCATGCTATGAAAGAGACGGTGGTCGAGAAAGCAATAAGTTAACCTCCCATAAAAGGGGAGATGATGTAATACAAGGGGTCCTGATTCTGGAAGAGGAGATTTGCTCAGTGCAACCCGGGTCACCCACGATGTGCAAGCAAGTGTAGCTAGAGGCGGCGGTAGGGGTGACTGTCCAGCTACAGCCACAGAGATCCTGTGCGATGACACATTAGTTGAGGACGGTGAGGTGATGGAGCGCGCCGGCAGCGCCAAGTATACGATGGCTCCGGAAAACGAGAACCACCCGGAGAGCCCCCTTCTCCACTACATGGATGCTGATTCCATTCAATTTCACTTGTCTCTCATATGTTTTTCTGTATTTGCAGTGCAGGTACATCTCCAGGCTCCGCAAAGGATACCGTACAGCCGACTGTACGGTGAGCACTGTACAGCCAGCTGTACGGTGAGCATTGTACAGCCGGCTGTACGGTGAGCACTGTACGGCCGGCTGTACGGTGAGCACTGTACAGCCGGCTGTACGGTGAGCACCGTACAGCCGGGTATTTTTTAGATTAAGTTCAACTTTAAGCTGGATTATATGATCGGATCAGCCGGCCTTCGCTCCTCCCTGCCAGATCCTCCTGCGACCATCTCTCCAGCCCAACTTCCCATCCTGTTCAATCCTACGCCGCTCAACTCATCATCTTCTCCAGGTCTCCTTGGTCCCTGGGATTAAGCTTTTCCAGACGGTTGATGGTAGCCGAAATAGCTTTAGGATAGTTGAAAAGTCCGAACAGCGTCCAACGTCGAGCACTTTTGAATGTGGGAGAAGTTGCTATACCAAAGTACTGTAGTTGTGGGACCTTAATACTTATGAGGGTTATTTATCTTCAATGATTACTAAAATTGTATTTTAGAATCTCAGCCTTCACAAAATGCATAAAAAATAATACCGTAGTGTTAATTGAATTAGAATTGAGAATCCACTAAGGTTATGTTTAATAGGTTCAGATCTTATTACTTTTCGTTTTAAAAAGAAATGAACATTTTCACAAGAATATTTGAGTCCATTAAAAATTTCAAATGAGTATTATTAAATTTTTATAAACTCATTTTGTAAATTGTGTGTGCTCATTTGATACATGTTTTGTGCTCATTTCATGTTATGTGAACACATATTTCAAAAAGTATCATACTACGTTAGATTTACGTATGTAGGAGTTCATTATAGATACAAAAGTACATACAATGATATTCAATTGCATGTTTCTAATACTCAATAGAGGATTTTTTGAGTTTGGTAGCTTTGGGTTAGGGGAAACCTAAGTTGTAGGTAGTTTTAAATATATGAGCACACACAAATAAAATTTTGAGCATGGTTGAGATTTTAAATTAGCCTAAAAGAAATGAATATCCGCCTAAAAGCAATGAACTCACACAAATTAATATTGAACACATTAAAAATGAGTTTTATGCTGAACTGAAATGAGTATAGCACCCAAAATGAATGAGCATACACAAATGAACATTCGAATTTTTCGATACTCATTGTGTAAATTATATATGCTCATTTGGTACTGATGTTATGCTCATTTTAAAAATGTTATGTCAATGCATATTTCAAAAATATCATATTACATTAGATTCATGTAGGAGTTGGTTATAGATATTGTATCACGGACCATGATATTCAATTGCATGTTTCTAATATTCAATATAGAAAGTGTGATGCTCAACAAAATTGTTGTGATACTCAACAAAAAACTTTAAGTTTCATATCAATGCTCATTTTATAAGTTACATATGCTCACTTGGTACTCATGTTACGCTCATTTTTAAAATGTCATATCAATCCATATTTAAAAACTACTATATTACATTAAATTCACATATTGAAGTTCATAGGAGTTGATTATGGATATAATTTAACAATATTTATAAAAGAAAAAAAAATAAGAAAAAGAAAGTGAATTACAAGATATGAATCAGAAATCACGATGCTTATTATTAGGCTCCTAATACTCAGCACAATACGTTTGATGCTCATTAAAAGCGTAATAATGCTCATACAACGAAAACCGCGATTTTCACTAAAATTACGAAAATGCCACCGTTTTTTTTGTTGTGATATCAGCCATCTTGTAATAACGCGGTGCTCATTATTAGACGCTTAATACTCATTAAAATTAGACTATTTCTCATTAACAGTACACTAATGCTCATTTAGCAGAAACCGCGATTTTCACATTAATTACAAAAAAAGCCACCGAATTATTTTGCTGTTTTTCACTTGGGCCTGTTACTGGGCCGGCTGTACGGTGCTCACCGTACAGCCGGTTGTACCATATACCTACTCGAAAAATGAATGAGTGGAAGGGTAGTATGGTTATTCAAAAAATGAATGAGTGGATTGCAAATTTGTGACGGCAAATAGAATTTCCCTATAAGAATTAAAAGGTGTAGTGGCCCGGCCCAAATGCTTATGCATCATCTGAGATTCTGAGAAGTGCTCCAAAATAATAATAAAAAATCGGGTGTAGCTTAGAGAAAATTCGAACCGCTGACCTGTAGCCTAAGGAGGATTTTAATTTTTAAGCTACTTCAACATAGGCTAACAACACTTCTTGAGGTGAAGCTAGTGCTTACCCTAAGTATACTATAGGTCCGCCCCTGCTATCTAGTGTTCCCAATAACAAAACTAAAGCTTTTTACAACTTATCCCCACCAGTGGAGGGGAAAAAACATGCTCGGCATATCACTTTATGGATTGAACGAATATTGTCTACTTTTTCACTTCAACAACTCTGTAAAACTTCTCTATAGGGTAAGCAATAAAAAAACTGAAGAAAAGTGAAAATTTCTTGCATTTAAATCTCCCGTACATCTCTAACTATATATTTATAAAAGCTGGACCGGCTGGGATAACCGTTCCCGCCTGATGTCACTACGGCATCATCATTGCGTCATTAAATTTCAGCTCTTCTCCGTATTAAGGAGACATTGTCAGCGTATTGCTTGGTATAAAATGACAGCTTAAGAAGACAGTTAGTAATAATCTACTAACCTCAATCCGTCGGTCGGATATTAGGTTATTAGACAAACGGTGTGGTGTAGGCTGCGTCCGACTAAGGGCAAGAGGAGCAGCTGAAAACTGAGAAGAGCGATATAACGTCCAACCGTCTGGCGGTAAAGATGAGCGGGCGGTAGAAAACGATGGTAGAATTGGTAGTTTGGTACACGATGGGTTTACCTTATAGGACAGGATCAAACATTTGGGCCAATAACTTTAAGAGGCCGTTTAGAGCACTCTTTTTCAGCTTATTAGACCTATCAGTCAACTTTTTCATCATACACGGAACTTTTGTTTTCACACGCTGAATTGTGTAATAAGCTAGAAAAGATAAAGTTGGAGTTACTTTTTCGAATGTATTGACTGAAGTTACTATAGATGATCATTTAAGATGTTTTTACATATATTTTTTTCTTTATTTTATTAATAAAATATGTTTTAAATATAATTTCTTCTTAAATCAGCAGAATCGGTCAATGCAGCCACTTCAGCCAGAACTTCATAAATTTCAGCAGAATCAGCCAAATCAGTCATTTTCGTGCTACCAAACGAGTTCTAAATCATTTTG